ACAGGACAGCCAACATTTTGGCCCTAGTCTTTCAAGTTCAGTGAAGATTCAGGACGTAGGAGAACCTGTACTATAACATCATGTAACTCAGTAGTGTCCCAGATTTTCTGATCAAGGAGATTATGGGGCCACAGAGGAAAGTGATTGATGATGTGGAGTGTGCCTAAGGAGAGTCACATGGAGAGAAAACATTTTCTCAGGCTTTCACAGAGAGCAAATTTGTCAAGCAATGGCCATGATTCATCCACATGGCTTAAAGTGGCAAAGGATCTACACACTGTGATACAGGGTTTCAGGTTAAATCCTGAGGGGATTTGACTGACCTTATCAGATACAAAAGCTACATTTCTTGTTATAAGGGTCTGCTTTATCTTGGTATTAATCATTCAACAGGAAATTATGAAAATGAAGTATAAAAATTAAAGCCATATTAATAAGCTGAGTTGTAAAAGGCTCAAGTCAACAACTTCTGACATTGCCAGTCCTACAGGAAACCCACTACTATTATGTACTACTGGACTATATTGGAATATTTTGCTGAATTTATGCACCTACAATATTTAAGTGATAATGGAATGCCCTTCTCTGACAAAACTAAACAAAAAACAGGGATACAAATTAACTACCATTTTGTATCTGTATATTCAAAATAATTAGTATAGATATACAGCCGCATTCTCTTAATGCAATGAAAAGAGAGATTTGTTCGAATAGTGTTCATAGGCAGGATATCATGTCTACATCTTGTACAATGAATAACCACTAAGGTAACAATATGCAATGTATTAATTATTGAAACTGTGCTAGTAATCTGTTTTGAAACAATCTCATTGCTCTTTTTCTCTTGATAAAATTATTTTTTTTAAAAAAGAGATAAGATTCCACTCCCACCTTCTCACTGATGCTTTTCTGCACAACTGTGTACTACCTGCTCCTCTGGTTCATTCATCACCCACTGCCTCTTAGTGGGGACCTCTTGGGAAAGTGTGTCATTTCTCCCTCACTTCTGACAGCAAAGGTATCTCACAGTCCAGGCTATGTCTCAGTCTCCCAAGGGAGAAGCAAATTTACATTTACTGCTTCCGCTCCCACCAGGTCACCTACAATCTACTCTCGCCAAACTATACAGTCTCTGGTCTGCGGTGGTAAGCTAGTTCTTCTCCAGCAGTAAAATTATTTTATTCTTCATTTTCAGCTTCTTCATGGTTCCTGTGTGCCTTTAATTCGTTTTAGACCCTTTCTGGATTACAGTTTCCATACTCTAAGCACTTTGAAATAAGTGTTTTCAGTGAGGAAGAGAATTTTAAGGAAGATTGAACACAATGTGTTTTTGGCGATAACAATTTAACAAAATGTAATATGCATCATATTTCCATGATACATCACATAATGACATCTCTGTAAATTTATATTTTAACATTAGTTCTTACATGAATAATGTTTATGTTAAACACTGTATCTTCAGTATTATATAAGAAATGTGTTATTTATATATTTAACATATTTTGCAAAACATGTAGGAATTAAATCATATGAAACATTGTTACATCTAAATTTAAATTTTATTTTACCTGGAATGCTAATAGAAAATTCTTATCCATGATGTGATTAGATATTGTCATAAAAGACTCAGGACATATAAGAACTTGTACTGTTACGTCATGTAACTCGGTAGTGTCCCAAATTTTCTGATCAAGGAGATTATAGCGCCACAGAGGAAAGTGATCGATGATGTAGAGTGTGCCTAAGGAGAGTCACATGAAGAGAAAACATTCTCTCAGGCTTTCACAGAGAGCACATTGACCAAGCAATGGCCGTGACTCATCCACATGGCTGACACTGACAAAGCTTCTACAATCTGAGGTACAGGATCTCAGGATAAATCCTGTGGGGATTTCACTGACCTCATCAGACCCAAAAGCTACAACTCTTGTTGCAAAGGTCCTGCTTTACCTTGGTCTTAACCATCCAGCAGAAAAGTATAAAAACAAAATATAAGAAGTAAAGCCATGCTGTTATGTTGAACTGTAGGGGACTCAGGTCAACAATTTCTGACATTGCCAGTCAAGGGGAAGACCCAATACTATTATGGGCTACTGGGCTCTTTTAGAATATTTTGCTGAGTTAACACACCTATAATTTTCAAATAATGGAACTTAATAAAAAAAAAGAGGATACAGATGAACGTCCATTTTGTATCTGTGTATTCAAAGTGCTTAGGATAGATATATAGTTATATTCTCTTAATGAATAGAGGGATTTATTCTAATGGTGTTTGTAAATAGAATATCATGTCTGCATCTTGTACAGCAATTAACCACTAGGAAAAATGTGTGCAATGTGCTAATTAATGAAACTGTCCTACCAATTTGATTTGAAACTCTCTCATTGCTATTTGTTTCTCAATAAAATTATGAAAAAAAATTAATTAATTTTTAAAAAGAAATTGTCATAATTTCTTAATTCTGGACAATTAGTCATGAAAGAAAGATTTCTACATCCCAGTGAAAGAAACTGAACTTCTATGAGTCCAGAGAAAAACTTAAATCTTCATTATCTGGGCCACTCAAAAAACCAACCTAGAATCCTCCTACCTGAAGCTAAATTCTGTGTGAAATAATATATTCCATCATAGCTCAATGAATGTATAACTCTTTTTCTGTGTAGAACCATATGCATTATAGCAAAAATGATTGCTATAAATATGTTTAACATATTGCATATTTAATTTATTAAATAATGTTAAATTCACCTGTCATAAGTACTTTTGTAAATATGCCTTCCAATTTGAATGATTAAGTGGGTTTCTTTGGAAATATGGTCATTTTCTCACTCATACATTCACTGCTTTTAGAATTGAATATTTGACTCAAATTTTCTCAGTGAACATAACATTTTTTTCTCTACATTCTATGTAGACTATATTTTTACACTTATAACACATAAATATGTACATTTAAAATCCAATTTCCTATACTAAATAACTGCTTGATAGCAAACCTGTACCATTCAGTGGACATTTACTAATTAAAATCTGTATAAGTCACATTGCAAATCTGTGAGTGTAACAATAAATATCAAGCTCTATATGGTGCAATGTGAGAGGACAATAAGTAATTTTTCCAAGTTATAATATTGTCATGAGTACAGCAAAAAGGTTTAAGTACACAGTGAATAAGGAAAACTGAGTATACCTTGGCTATGAAAAGTGTAATAAAAATTGCCCGAGAATGTGTTAACAAATAGAAATTTACTTTGATACAAATCAGTACTTTTTCAAGATTTATTTGAAAAAGAAATTACAAATTGAAAGGAAAATTCTAGAACTTTGAGATGGTACTAGTATGCCATGAATGGGGAAATGAAAGGAAAAATTGAGTTAAATCAAAGCATATGCAAATCACTAAATATAAATTAGCAGTATGTTAAATGTAACAGGTAAACTGAAGCTGGAGGCAGTGTTTGGCATGGGAATGTAGCAAAAAAAATTACATCAGATACTAGTAGTTAGATAATAGCATAAAAGAGAAAAAAGTATTTTACAAAAGTTAGCTGATGAAAATGACTGAAAGGAATTGGTGAGAAGGATTTCAGAGGTAAATTCATCACATGAAAAACAAAAGGTCAGTATAAATAAAATAGAAAGGGGAATATGTAATTAAGATTAAAACTATATCAACTGAGTTAAAATATTGTTAAGTGATAATAAAAGGATAAAAAGAGTAAGCTGTGTAAGTATGCCCCAATTTCAAAAATTATGTTTTATTTATATAGTTAGAATACATATAT